CAAGCCTTCTTCTTACTCTGTGGCAGCAGCCATTTCTGTTTGGATTTGTTTACTTTCTATAATTGAAACTTTGTAGCCTTGAGTGGTGGCTTAGGCCTGCTAGGGCAGGCGGAAAGCTTGGCTTCTTCTGTTGCCAGAGAAACCCAAACCTCCCTCCTGTTCTCTGTGGCTGCAGCCATCTTGGTTGGGGTTAACTTGCATACTTGCTCTGATTGGCTGGTGGGTGTGGCTTGTGGAGGGGAGTGATGGTTAATTTGCATATTACCCTTTTATTAGATAGGATTTTTCTTATGTCCCTTACAGGGGTGGGGAATATCATTTGGTCTGACCCTGCCAAATCATTACGTGTGAGTTAATTAAATGACCAAATACAGCAGGCTAATTTTTAAGTTGATAATTTTGTATGGCCTGCAAATCATATTATGAGTATTCAAATGGTTGTTGGCAGAAAAAGGTTCATCACCCCTGGTTTAAAAGACCATAATATTATATTTAATATTTCATTTTATTTTTGTTATTGGTTAAATTTATTTTTATTGTTAAAAGTATTACAGAAGTCCTTTTTTCTCCCTATTGACTCCCTCAACCCTGCACACCTCCCATCTCAAGCACTTATATTACTATTGTCTATGTCCATGGGTTGTGCATATATTCATATTAGAATAGTCCAAAGAAACCTTATTTGTTAAATATGCTAGAGATCCTTAAAGGTATGGACAATGTATTATAAAACTTCAGTTAGTAAAAAAATCAGAACATGCACTGGCCAGTGGCTCAATGGTTAGAGCGTAGACCCAAGAACCAAAGAGTCACGGGTTCACTCCCTGGCTGGGTAGGGGTGCATATAGGAGGCAACCATGTGTGTGTGTATCTCTCTGCTCCCCTCTTTCTTCCATTATCTCTCTCTCTAAAAAATGTTCAGAACAATATATAAAGCCCAAGCCTATGGACGCTGCTGACACTACTGCTATCATAGAAGAGGCTCTGAAAAATAAATTTGCTTACAAGTGTAGAAGTGATAACCAAGGTGAGGCTGAAAAGGAATTCCAAAGTCTGATCAGAGGTCACTTCAGAAACTGTTGTTTGGGCTACACATGCTAAAGTCCATGGGGAAAATAAAACTTTAATTGAAAATGTTTCAAATTCCTAATATACAAGAAGCTGAGGAAAACTATCCTGGTTCAGCTGTGGGTTTGTTAGGACTGTTTGACTGGTAGAAATCACACTATTTATCAAATACCTGAATTTAGTATTCATTAGTATCCTTTTAATTCTCTTTAGTGGATTAAGCAATAGCAAAAGCTCTCTAAGTTTGTGTTTGTGTTTTTGAGAAGGTCAATTCTGAAGTTTTCCAGAACTCACATGTATTCTGACATACCATGTTTATTTAAAAACAAACATATCTTTATTGATTTCAGAGAAAAAGGGAGAGATAAAAATATCAATGATGAACGAGAATCATTGATTGGTCACCTCCTGCATGCCCCCTACTAAGGATTAAGTCTGCAACCTTGACAAGTGTCCCAACAGGGAATCAAACTGCATTCAATCTCCTGCTTCATAGATTGATGCTCCAACACTGAGCCAGGCTGACATACCATGTTTTTTAACGTGTAGTCAGGATGTTTAAGTTTCTCGTCTTGAAAATAATTATATACATTTCAGAATGAGGAAAGGACATTTGTAGAAGTAATTTTTGTTAACACTAGTTCATCTGTATAAATGTTCTCTGCAATATATTTAGATATAAAGCAGTCTATGTAAATTACATAATGAGGTACTGTTATCATTTGTTTTCACTCCTCATTTACTAGTCAATGATGGAAGAGCTGGCATAACAGTTTTTTTTTGGAGTGAATTGAGATTGGAGTCTTCACACCTTGAATAGAACTTTTAGGTTGTCTTTCACATTTTCTTTGAGATGGGGTTTGAGAAGGATCTGAAAAATGCTCACTGCTAAGACTCCATAATACTTTCCTTTAAAAGGACAAATTTCTTACTATGAGTAAATAGTTATATTTATTATTTAAATCAGTTTTAAAAAGTTGATGGGATAAGAGATCAAAAGAGTTGATAATCAATTTTAAGGTATCAAAATATATGCAATGTTCTAGATGTTATAGAAAGTAATAGTTGGGGTAATTTTATATGATCATGAAAACTGCTTTCACCTCAGAACCATCTAATGCTGAGGAAGAAAATGTAGTTTGCAAACAGAGAGGACTCAAATGATAAATTAAAATCTATTTTAAGTGAAAACCAGAATGTACAATGTATGTTTCCTTTCAGTTTAATAAATGGCATTATAAAAATGACATGTTGATAAGTTAATACTTCTAGAAATTGTTGGCATAATGAAGTTTATTTTTTTAATACTGGACAAATTACTAGCTTTACAATGGAACACTGAATAGGCAAAATAATTTCTTGTAAATTGTTCATCATTGGTCAGAAATGCTGTTCTATTGAATTACATTATACAGCATAAACCTTAGGTGTTCTTAGAAAGTGGAGAACTGCTCTTCTCATCTAGGGATTATAATGAATTGCTATAAGTGATCATTTTTAAATATGTAAGAAATCTTCATGATTTTTAAAATTTCTGGTAAACATAGTTACAGTTAGTTTCAAATTTCCTACTATGAGTAAATAGTTATATTTATTATCTAAATCAGTTTTAAAAAGTTGATGGGGTAAGAGATCAAGAGTTGATAATCAATTTTAAGGTATCAAAATATATGCAATGTTCTAGATGTTAGAAAGTAGTAGTTGGGGTAATTTTATATGGTTTGGTTATTCAGCTTAATTCTGAACTTTGGTTTATTTTACATATACTGTTGATGTATATTGTTTCTAATTGTTTTATATGGTTTAAGCATTCTGCCTGGCTATTCCTGGATTATTAACACTTCAATTTAGATACATAATCATAATTTAAAATATGTAGATCTATAAACCACTGGATAACTGGAAAATAATTGTACTTACTCATATTCAGTTCCCATTTCCTTTCTGGATAAACATGAAGACTATTCTCCCTTACCACTTTCTCATTAATGGGTGAAACATGACTGGTTGTATTCAATGAAATGTGAGTGTATGTTTCTTCTTGGCTAAGGAATTTGAAAGCCACTATGCTGCTCCCCACTCTCTCTTCTCCTGTCTTAGTGGTCTTGGAGGTCACATTTTAGGATATTGGTGACACAGGATGTAGAAAACTCAAATCTCTAAGTCACAATATGAAGGAAAGTCCATTTCTATCTTCAACCCATGCTAACACCCCTCTCCCCGCCCCACACAACCTGAATCAGACTTTACATGAGTGATAAGCATTTGCTCTGCTAAGTCAGTAAAATTTTGAGGTCTCTTTATTGGCACAGCCTTGTTTCAGCCTATTTTGATGACTGTAAATATTGTTACAACTTCATCCTCCAGTGGCTGATGAACCAGATTTTGCAAATTCCTTGGGCATACTACCTTTCTTTGTCCAGAACATTTTTTATGTTGCTGGGTAATAAATTAAAAGCCTCCTGAGGAAATAATAATATGTGAATCATGAGCTTTGCTAATTAATGCTTATGTCTCATTTTCTATTTTTCCACAATCACATCAAGATAATGAATCTCTTTCAGGAAGGGGATTATGATATTCATGTATCGTGTTTATGTGCTTTGGATTCATAATAGCTGTGTGGTTTAAGACAAGTCACTTCACCTTATTTTTCCAGTTGTCTCATTATTGGTTTCACATACTACAATACAAAACCTGTTTAAAAGAATATATTGCAGAAATTCTAAAATTGTACATTTACTTGAAAAATTGCTTTCATCAATAAGTTTTTTCAACATTTTATCTTAAATATTTTTTTATAATGGGATAAATGCAAATAAAAATTTAAAGGTAAAAGTACAACCCAACTAACCATTTTTTTTAAATTTAAAAATGTTTATTGTAGTATGCATATCCTTAACATTTTCTACAGGATTAATATAAGATTAACAGAAAAGCATGTATTGCTACATAAAAGGTAAATACAGAATTTGCTATGGATATCAAACATTTTTGTGTTTCCATCTGTTAATATTGTAGAACATTTTCTCAGTTTTATTGTACTTCAAAATTGTTTTTTTAAAACTTGTTAAAATTAATGGTAGGTGTTGGCAGAGTTCACAGAAATGTTTGAGGGGAATATTATTTTCTATACAAGTGAGACTCTGACATTTTACAGCAGAGGTCACAGATAATGTCCATATGATAAATATTCAATATTTTATTGTATAGCTTTTGTATATGAAATTACTGTAATATTTCACTGGTAATAAGTCCAAAATGTTAAGTAATACCAAATTTAAATGTATGTTCTGGAAGATGGTACTGTAAAAGAGTAAGTTTGTGAAATTTTTAATATATTGTGATCACCATAACAAATTATGCCAATGAGTTTTTCATGTTTTTTTTTTTTTTACCTTGTCAACACAATAAAAGCTTCCCATTAATATATGTAAAGTATTATTTATTTATTTGGGGGTATTGTTTGAATAAGAGAATGATGTTTTACTGAAAATCAGACTGTATTTTAAGCTTTAGAAGTTCTCTTTATATTAGTTGTGGTCCAGATAATAGAGTACCTTTATTTGAAATAGAAAACATTTTTTTAATTTCTCAGCCTCTTAACTTAAAAATTAACAATGCTTTCAAAGCCTTTCACATTTTGCCTATTTCCTTTAAACATCTTAAAGTAATGAGGCTAAATCTAGATGAGCAGATTTCCAAGTATATTATCAGCTGTAACACCACACAATCTTAACACCTACTTGTAATTCATCTTTAAAAGTTGATTTGGTTTCGCAAATGAGAGCAATCCTAACTACATATTAAAATGATGCAAGAATTTTTATGTTTGATTATTAATTGAAGGAAAGAATATGTTTCTTCCTCCTGTCTTATTTCTACTTCATTTCTTAAAATCATCCAGTTTTTATCCATTTGATGAGATAGCTTTATGGTAGCTTCACCACCACAACGCATGCACCAGCTCTTCCAATGTTAACAGGAACTTCCTAACACAGGAAACAAAAGCAGGAAAAGAACTGATGTTTAAGTGAATTCTGTATTTAGCATAGTAATGCATATTAGAGTTGATAAAGTCCTTAACTATTCTGGTCTCACCTTCACCTTGCATAAAGGCAAAGGAAAATGTAGCCCAGATAACAATTCAGTGTGGGAGAAAAAAAATAGCGTTTAAAAGATGTACATATGAGATTGAGGAGCAGGAGATATTGAGTAAATTTCACCACTCTGGTAATTTTCTCACTTGAAAAATTACAGCAAATAAATGCGTATCCTTAGAGTTAAGTGAGATAATGAATGAAAATAATTTGTCATATAGAAGTTATAACTCCATTATTTGTTCTCTTTCATTCTTTCTGACATCACACAATGAAAGAGTGAAAATCCAGGAACAGAACCTAGGCATCTTAGGTTCTGACATACAATTTTCAGAAAAGTAAATTCCATCACTTTAGACCCATGGTTGGCAAACTGTGCAGCACAAGCCAAATAGGGCTCTTCGGCCCCTTGAGTGTGGCTCTTCCACAAAATACCACGGCCTGGGTGAGTCTATTTTGAGGAAGTGACGTTAGAATAAGTTTAAGTTTAAAAAAATTGGCTCTCAAAAGAAATTTCAATCATTGTATTGTTGAAATTTGGCTCTGTTGACTAATGAGTTTGCCGACCATTGCCTTAGACAATAATTTTGATTATTGTATTTGACCTAACTTGTTTGCTAAAATGTTTTTTTTTCCATTTCTAGTTGGTCTTAAGCATTGATACAACCAACATGGAATGATTTGAATATTTCCAAGGGTCTTAATGAATCAAGTTGTTGAAGGAGCGAGAGAGAGACCCATTATCACATATCATTACATTAACATATATTTAGAACAGTTACCAACACACTATATAGAGTACAGAGCAGTAGGAAATCAGTATAAAGAAAGGTGAAGTTAGATACCAAATACAAGGTTTGTATGTTTGTGGCAATAGTGAAGAGTTAATCATATTTCATTTTTATTAACCAGTTATTTAATTAACAAACCATTACATATTTTGGAATAAATCTAGAACCATCCCTAGAAAAACTGTCACAAGCATCACATTTTCCTTGAACACCCTCGAGATGCTCAATTTCAGTGCCCCAGCTTATATACTGTCCTCATAATTTCTTTTGTTAGATGCCCAGAACTTTTGAGAGGATTTAATTCCAGTCTTTTGCTATGCACTAAATTTCTTGAATAACTGATTAAAAGTTATGACTATTACAGTTTATAAATTTATATAAAAAGGGAATTTAAATATTTTCCTTCTTGGGCACCAGTGATAAGAAGGGGAAGATATTTATGGATGAGGATGTTGCTCTTTGGTTCTCAAGTCATAATATATACATAGGAAATTGGCCAAAGAGTAAAACTTTTGAATTCTGTATTTAGCATAATATAGCATATTAGAGTTGATAAAATCCTTAGCTATTCTGGTCTAACCTTCACCTTGCATAAAGACAAAGGAAAATGTAGCCTAGGTAACAGTCCAGTCAGTTTGACTATAACGTGAAATAAATGATTACATAATATCAAGTGACTGACTTCCATATAAATACTGATGGATCCTGCTAATGATCAATTAGATCATCTAGTAGTTTCCTATAGCTTAGATAAAGCATGTTTTACAAATTTTATAAAATGAATCTGGTTAAACCCTAAAGATGAAAAGAATGAAACTAATTTCAACATATTTAAAAATACATTTTATTAAAACCTGAAATATACCAATTTGAATACTTTTAATAAGTGTACCTGTTTCCATTCATCTTTCTGTGTATCATATGACTCAACGGTATTCAAATAAGAATGTCCGTCATATCCTCCAACCACAAAGACTCTGTCTCCGAGAGTACACACAGCGACAGCATCTCGAGGAACACTCAGAGGCGCCACAGTTGACCATGAATCATGTTTTGGATCATACCTTGAGAGGTTTAGGAATACATTAGAGAAGGAAGATCCAATATAGTATTAAAATAAAAAATAATAGGCTTTAATAAAACATATACTTATCTAATATAAGAAATTAGCATACCTTATAAATATCAAGTGTGGTCTAACTAGTAAATGTGAAAAATAAATACATGACAAAACTCAATTCAGCCACCAGAGGACACTCAAAGCATATAAAAGTGTATTTTCTTTCCAAAAAGATCATGCATTTCTTTGGTACTTAGATTTCCTATGAGGAAATTTCACTTATTCGTGTCTTAACATGTGAAAAACGTTCCCTCCCTCATTTATTATGCTGGTCTCATTTTTTCCTCTTATTCTTTGTATATCAAAGTTATAAATGAAATGCCTGATCCTGCTTTTATGGGAGTTCACATTTTAAGTAAATCTGAATATAATTGTTTATTTAATTTAAGTATATTTTTATTGATTTTATAAAGGAGAGGGAGAGATAAAAACATCAATGACGATAATCATTGGTTGGCAGCCTCCTAAATGACCCCTACTGGAGATCAAACCAGCATCCTTGGGCATGTGCCCTGACCTGGAATCAAACTCATGACCTACTGGTTCATAGGTTGATGCTCAACCACTGCGTCACACTGGAAGGACTGAAAATAATTGTTTTTTAGTTTCATAGAATGCCGTACCATGGTTTTAATTCTATTTTTGGCTAGAGTGGTCATAGCTTTATTCTATATTTTTCCTCTTTGAGAGTTCCTGTTTATCTTTTCAGGAGCCTAGAATTATTTCCATTTTAATTTAAAGTTCACTTTTTATCCCAAACCTTCCTCTAAGCAAAATAAAAGATAATTTAGTAAGTAATATCAATTAAAATCTTCACCAGGAATTCCCTCCTAAAATTTGAAGTCTTTATTTAAAATATACATAATGCAAAAATCTAAAAGAAGTGAACAGTGAAAGAAAACTTCTATAATTGTACCTGAAAATATATTTTGATTTTATATTGGCTTATTCATAAAATTTAATGATAAAGATGTCTTTTACAAAGAGACATTACTTAATTAGCCTCTACTAATTTCCTTATATTTCTACTACCCCTCTTATTTATGTTTTTAATCTATTTAATCATTATCTAAATCATCTTATTCTAGCTTTTATTTGATCTGACCTTATGCCCAATAATATTTTTAATAATTAAGATCACCTCAATGTCCAGAGCATAATTTTTTTGGTATCATGTAGCATATCACCTTAAATTCTGATGTTATAAACCCAGAACCAAATAATCCATAGCTGTGCACTTCAGCTAAGCTGCATCCTCTACACAATTGCTGTTGTTATACTCTGAAGCTGCAGTCAGCATAAGAGTACACATATCTATGAATGGTGAACCAGGGGTCATAAAAAGATTTCCTTAGAGATTTGCAACCAAAACCCAAGAGTGCCATGCATATGAATAATAATTAATACTAAAATTATGGCTAATGTTAATATTATCTGGATACTTCTTGATTAAATAGAGGAATTTGGGAAGGTTGAACCTTTTGAAGAAAATAATTGTAATATGCTTACTATCTGTAAAGACACACAGGAGATATTATTAAACACTAGAGGCCGGGTGCATGAAATTCATGTACTTGCGGGGGAGGTGTCTCTTAGCCCAGCCTTCACCCTCTTGCAGTCTTGGAGCCCTCGGGGGATATCTGACTGATGACTTAGGCCTGCTCTCCACATCCTTAGTGCTGCCAAGGAAGCAGGAGAAGCTCCTGCCACCACCACTGCACTCATCAGCCATGAGCCAGGATTCTGTTTGAGTGGTGCTCCCCCTATAGGAGTGTACTGACCACCAGGAGGAAGTACCTGCATTGAGTGTCTGCACCCTGGTGGTCAGTGTGCATCATAGAAACCGGTCGTTCTGCCATTTGGTAGATTTTCATATTAGCCTTTTATCATATAGGATAAAGTTAGTCACTACATTTCTTTCAAATTAAAATAACATAATGTCTTTCCCTTTGTTTTTCCATCTCTCCTTATAGTGGAACTAAAATGGATCCTGAAGTGAAGAGAAATAGTTGTAAACTTATTCCTGCACTAAGAGAAATGATGTTGGGAAGTTGGACAGATACATGCAAAAAATGAAACTAGACCACGAAACTTATACCATATACAAGAATAATATCAAATTTTATAAAAGAGTTAAATGTGCTGAAACTGGTTTGGCTCAGTGGTAGAGCGTCGGTCTGCGGACTGAAAGGTCCCGGGTTCGATTCCAGTTGAGGGCATGTACGTTGGCTGAGGGCACATCCCTGGTGGGGGATGTGCAGGAGGCGGCTGGTCAATGCTTCTCTCTCATCGATATTTCTGGCTCTCTATCTCTCTCCCTTCCTCTCTGTAAAAAAATCAATAAAATATAAAAAAAGAGTTAAATGTAAGATGTGAAACCATAAAAATTTTAGAAGAAACTACAGGCAGCAAAATCTCAGACATCTCTCATAGCAATATGTTTGGGAGTACATCTAGGGCAAAGAAAATGAAGAAGAAAATACACAAATGGGACTATATCAAAGTAAAAAAGCTTTTGCATAGCAAAATAAAACTTCGACAAAACAACAAGAAAGCACACTGCATGGGAGAACATATTTTCCAATGATATATCTGATAAGGGGTTAGTTTCCAAAATACATAAGAAACTCATACAACTTAACAAAAGGAAGACAAATAATCCAATTTAAAAATGGGCTAAGAACCTAAAAAGACACTTCTCCAAAGTGGACATACAAATGGCCAAGAGGAATATGAAAAAATTGTTCAAAGTCACTAATTATCAGAGAGATGCAAATTAAAACAACACCTCACACCTGTCAGAATGGCTGTATCAATACATCAACAAATGGCATGTGCTGGTGAGTATGTAGAGCAGTGGTTCTCAACCTTTCTAATGCTGCAACCCTTTAATACAGTTCCTCATGTTGTGGTGACCCCCAACCATAAAATTATTTTTGTTGCTACTTCATAACTGTAATTTTGCTACTGTTATGAATCATAATGTAAATATCTGTGTTTTCCAGTGGGGAGGGACTGTGGGAGGTTGGCTGGATGCCAGTGGGAGAGACCAGAGGAGGTTAGCTGGTCATCGGGAGGGACTGCAGGAAGTTGGCTGTGTTGAGCATCTGCTCCCTGGTGGTCAGTGGCTATCATAGTGACTGGTTGACGGGTCAGTCACTCCGGTTGTTTGGTCATTTAGGCTTTTGTATATATAGATAGTCTTTAAAATAAAAACTGTTACAAGAGAAAAGAAACACATATAATGATAAAAGGCCAATTGATAAAGAATTATAACAATTATAGATATAAGAACACAAAGCAGCACATCTCCTAAATATATGAAGCAAACACTGACAGAATTGGAGGGAGAATGTGCTATAGTAACAATGAAAGTGCTTGATTCTCCACCTTTAATAATGGATAGAACAAGCAGACATATCAATAAGTACATGGGAGACTTATAATAACATTATAGACCAATTGAACCTAAAATATAGATATTAAATATTCTACTCCCAAAAAGCATAATACACATTTTTCTCAAGTGAACAAGGAAAATTATCCAGGAGAGATTACATGCTGGACCACAAAACAAGTATTAATAAATTTAAAAGAGTTTGAAAACATGCAACCTGAATTTAAACTATAAATCAACAGCAGAGGAAGAGAGAATGTCTACAAATATATGTAAAAGATATAACACATATTTAAACAGCCAATAGTTTTGGTTGTATTTTTCCCTATACTTGCAATCCCATCCATTCTTTTGTATGCTTACAAACAATAAATTCTAATTACTTCGTGAATTGCTTTTGAGGATACCATCCCATACTGATCTCTCTCTTGTGAATTATGATAATTTTAGTGACTATAAATTTTTCATTTGGTCTTATGTTAATACTAGAGGCCCAATGCATGAAATTTGTGCAAGGCCTTCCATCCCTCGGCTGCTGGCACTGGCTTCCCTCTGGCACCTGGGACACAGGCTTCCCTTACAGTCCTAGCTTCATCTGGAAGGTCGTCCGGAAGGACATCCCATCTAATTAGCATATTAAGCTTTTATTATTATACATTATTTTACTATTATGTTTGCATATACATATTCTGTCTTTAAGGGGAATGTAAATGATATAACTATAGTTATGTGACTGATTTTAACAAACATATATTTTATTCATTTAAATAAATGTCTCCCATTCAAAGAAGTTACCTTTGGGAAGCTAAATACTTAAATACTCATTGTCCAGAACATTATTAACAACTCCATTAAGAAATTCTGTATGTTATATAGTGGTAAGTCTTTCTCTTTTGATGACTGATTTTTTAAACAGTAAAGTTATTTTGATTTGAGCTGGTGAATGGTTTGAGTGATATAGCTTGGTGTAAAATTTATTATTACATCCCCTTTGTCTCACTATTTTATAGGGTGACTATCAAACAATAAAGCAGCATATTATCTTTATATATTTGTTGATGGGTCTAAAACACATAATAAGGAGGATTTCTTCAAAATATTTTAAGCCTAAAAGTAAATATGCAATTTTAAAATGGACTGATCCTCTGAAATTATTAATACTTATTTGGAAAACTATATTCTCATATAAATACATATATAAATAAATATAAATATTTTACCGTTCCACACAGTCAGAAAGCCTAGAGCAATGGTTAGAAGCAGGAGCATCATGACCCCCAACAGCATATAAGAATCCATTGTATGTTGTAACTCCTACACCTCCACGTCTTTTGGACATTGGAGCACACGGACTCCACTTGTTAGTGTGTGGGTCAAAGTATTCCACTGATCTCAGGCAGGAACTTCCATCACGCCCACCAATAGCATACAGCCTAGAAAGAAAAAAAACACACACAGAAATTCGTGTTTTTCCAATTTATGCATAGAATGAAAGTGAAAGAACCTTGCACAAAACATATTAAGTTTCTGCCTATACAGGGTAGGTAAAAGTAGGTGTACAGTTGTTCATATGGAAAATAACAATAATACAATAATAAATAATAATACAAGTATAAACTCTGTTTTGCATACTCACAACTGTAAACCTACTTTTTCCTCACTCTGTGTATTCTGCTATCCCAAGATTTTCTAGCAGACAGTCTGAGTTTTTGAATGGAAGTCTACCACTCTAAACTTTGTGGAAGTTACTGTGAAATAATAGATCTACCTTACTCCAAACTTGTGAAAGTTACTTAGATATATTAAAAGATCCCATGGGATAATTATGTACAGAGAAAGATGGGAGATAGTGAAAACATTCTTAATATTTGTCAATTATACCCCATTAAAAACAACCTTACAATTTTACCAAGGTTCAATTGCCTAGCATTAGAATCCCTATTGTTTTTATTAACTGCTTTATATAGTAAAATAAATATAATTGTCACTAGGAATATGTTAGCTTGATAAATGACTAAGTGAATAGAATAGAACCAAGAAAAAACTTTTTATCCCCATAAAGATATAGTGGCTATAACATTTCTGCCATAAACTTTACTAAGCAGTAAGTCTATAACTGCCATTCAGTTCAGTTATGATGTGTGGTAATAGGTAGGAGATTGTTACTGAGTCACCTGATAATCATTCAGGTCAGGCCAGCCAGGATAAACAGATTTCAGAGTATTTTAAGCTCTAAGACACTCTATGGCTAGGTCTCCCCTTAACTATAGACATTCCCCACGTTTTCTTGCACAAGGTGATAAAATCCATCTGAGCCCATTTATAGGAGGTACTGGCTTGATGCAAAGTCAGTACAAACACACAAGTTGTCTCCTGCCACTTGTTCCATCCTGATGTCTAAATTTCTCTTCAGTCACGTTCCTCATATATGCTGGTCATTCTTTCCACAGGTCCCTTGTCAAAAAGCACATATGGTTAATTGAAATAAATAATAAACTCAAGCTCTTAGCAACCTGTAGTATCATTGGGTTTTAATATATTAGCTTGTTCTTATAGGCAAGTAATCAGGAAGTAGGAAATATTTAGAAAGATGGAACCAGATGTAATTCTAGAGTTGGGAACTCTAAATACTCAAGACGGTATATGGTAAAGAACAAAATATAAAACTTGCCCTGTTCCAAAGACAGCCAAAGTCTTGATAAGTCAAGAGTAAGTTATTATGTAATAAATGGAGGCCTCTTGAAGGTAAAGCTGGGATTTGTTTGAATTCACAAGTGCTTCTCAAATTTAATGAGCACACAGAGTCACTTGATGATCTTGTTAAAATGCCTATTATGATTCGAAAGGTCCAGAGTGGGATTAGGATTCATCATTTCTAAATAGATCTTAGGTGATGCTGACACGGCTAGTTCCAGGACCCCATTTGAGTAGCAAGGGATTACAGAATATTTAATTAAATTTTCATTTTTGACAAGTATTTCCATCATAATTAAGGCAGAATTTCAACAAAGTTCTGTTATTATTCTTTTTCTCTTTGTTGTTGAAAGTATTACAGATGTTCCTTTAGTTTATTTGTTTGTTTTTCCCAGAGATCCATCCCACACCTGCCCCTCCCAGGCCTTCACTACTCTATTGTCTGTGTCCATATATGCATATAAATTCTCTGATTAAGCACTCCTGACCCATCTCCTACCCTCACTTTCCCTCTGAAATCCATCAGTCTGTTCAATTCTTCTATGCCTGTGGATCTATTTTGTTAATCAGCTCATTAGATTCCACATAAGAGTGAGATCATGTGATACTTGTCTTTCTCTGATGGGCTTATTTCACTTAGCATAATACTCTTCTGGTCCATCCAAGCTGTTGCCAATGTTTAAAATTATATATATATTTTTTATAGCTTCAGAGTATTCTATTGTGTAAATATACCATAGATTTTTATCCACTTATCTGCTGATGGGAACTTGGGCTATTTCAAAATATTAGCTATTGTAAATTGTGCTGCTATGGACACAGGGGTGCATTTATCCTTTCTGATTGGAGTTTCTCGTTTCTTAGGATATATTCCTAGAAGTGGGATTACTGGGTCAAATGGGACTTCCACTTTTTATTATTTTTGAGGAAACTCCATACAGTTTTCCACAGTGGCTGCACCAGTCTGCCTTCCCACCAGCAGTGTACCAGAGTTCTCTTTTCTCCATATCTTTGCCAGTACTTGTCATTTGTTGTTTATTGATTGTAGCCATTCTGACAGGTGTGAGGTGATACCTCATTGCCACCTCACCTGAGGATATTTTTTCCATTGATTTTTAGAGAGTGGAAGGGAGAGGGAAAGACAGAGAGAAACACTGATATAAGAGAGACACCTCAATTGGTTGCCTTCTGTATGCCCCAACCAAGGTCAGGAGCCTGCAACCGAGATATGTGCCTCAACCAGAATCGAACCTAGTACTCTTCAGTCTACAGGCTGATGGTCTATCCACTGAGCCAAACCATCTAGGGCCTGGTAATGTTTTTGATTGATGTATCACATCTATGAAGTGCTGTAGCACATGACCTAGGAGCAAAGACCATGCACGTTTTGGGTTACTCACTTGTTGTTTAATGCAGCGACAGCAACTGTGCTTCTAGGAATTGACATACTAGCCACGTAATTCCACTGACGTCCCTCAGGATCCCATCTTTCTACAGTATTTAGATAACTCCATCCATCATGACCACCAACAGCATACATTGGTCCTTCAAGTGTGGCTACACCTAAGTAATAAAAACAGCACGAGGGCTCACCTATAATGGCTATTATATACAAGCAACAAACTGCTTAAAATTTTGTTTTTGTTTCTTAAATGGTTTTGTGTGCACATGAATAATTTACTGATCTTGATATGAAACTAAACATGGTATTTTAACCCAAGAAAATTTTCAGGCATAGTTACCATTATCATGGAAACGTATTGTTGTTGTCATACTGAAGCCAAAGGAGGTAATGGGAACACATCCTTTCTGAGGATGTGACAGATAAGGGAAATCAATTTTCCTGGCATAATTTCAATGCCACTTTTAGAGTAAGAAATAGATGAGATATGACTGAATCTTAGATAAATCTTAGAAATGTAGGCCAACTGATGTCTTTCTAATGCCTGTTCTTGATTATAGGGATAAAAAAAGGTTCTCATCAGATAACTAAATAGACAGGGTTTTTTTTTTTTTATGTGTTATATTAGATACTATAAATACCCCCTTTCTAACTGCTCCTCAGCTGCTCTGGGAATACACGAGTTCCTCCACCCCCACCTTCTTTACCATCTCAATGAACTCTCAGGTATATCCGCATCACCTATCCTATCTCTTTAGTACCATCAATGTATTTTAAAACTTGCTCTGATTTCTCTATAACATATATTTTCTAAGCTATGTTTTTGAATCACTAACACAACTGAGCTGAATATAATTAATATAATCAAACATTTGAAAAAGACTATCAGATAATTTTGGGGCATATGATATCAGACCTGGACCTGGCACTTTTTAGCTGTGTAAAACTAGATCTGGAAGATAGTGGAGGATGGGGCTAAGGGGGAGAGATCAACCAAAGGACTTGTATGCATGCATATAAGCATAACCAATGGACATGGACACCAGGGGGAGATGGCATGAGCTGGGATGGGGGTAAGGACACATATGTAATATCTTAATCAATAAAAAAGTAACAAGGAAATTATTATGTCTCTTTTTTTCAAAAGACTTTATGATATTGAAAATGTATGAAAACTAGTATGAACAAAGATGTATCCTAATAGATATTTAGGAGAATCAAAGTTCTCCACTGTTCTAGATGTCTCCACTGCATCTTTCCTAAACTTTTTTATAAACTCTGAATTACATATAAATTAGAGCTGCTCTCAACTGAAGTGGATTTTTCCTGCCTTGGATCTGCATCATTGGCTTTTTGCTGAAATGTAGATTTGTCAATTATAGAAAGGAACATGATTCATCTAACTAGAAACACATCTCTCCATTATTAAGTGCTCTTTCCTCTAAATTGAGTCTGGAATAAAACTCTATTGTAGGTTTGTGTTCCTCAATAATGTAATCCTCCTCAAAATCTTTATCCATTGTAATAAGTATGACACCTGAAATAAGAAAAAAAATTTAAAGGTTTTGACTATTTGCTTAAGCTTTTCAGCATTTTTAAACATTTTAACTAAGGGGTTTGTTATCCAATAATATGCAGCTGAATTTAATTTTTAAATAGTTCTGTGAACTATACATTTTTTATAAATCATATAACATTAAATTCTTACCTAAGCCATGCCTATGTGTTGACATGGGAGGCATCACACTCCAGACTTTGCCAACTGGATTAAAACATTCCACAGTATTCAAAGTCTTTAAACCATCTCTTCCTCCCACAATATAGAGCTTATTATCAATAACTGAAACTCCAAACTGAAGCCTACGGCCATTCATGGTGCCAATATGTAACCAGGTATTGGTCCTGAGGTCATATCTTTCTATTGTAGTGGTACCTGTTAGAGGGATATTGAACAATGGTTAAACCAATTATATAGACACATATCCTCTTCAAATTACTCCAAAAAATTCAAGAAGAGGGAAGAAGCTCTTTTTACAAGACCAATTTATCCTAATACCAAAACAAGATAAAGAATGAGAGCTATACACCAGTATTCCTGATGGACATAGATGCTAAAACTCTCAACAAAATATTAGCAAATCAAATCTAGCAATACATTTTAAAAAATCAAATACCATGATCAAGTAGAATTTATTCTGAGGATCAAGTTTGGCACAGTATTTGCAAATCAATAGATGTGATATATTACATAAATGAAATAAAAGATAAAATCACATGACCATATCAATAAATAAAGGAAAATCATTCAATAAAATGCAGCACCAATTTATGATAAAAAATCTCAACAAAGTGGGAATAAAAGGATCATACCTCAACATAATAAAGGCCATTTGTGAAAAACAGCCAACATTATACTGAGTGGGCAAAAACTAAAAGTGTTACCTTAAGATCAGGAAAGGGTGTCTGCTTTCACAACTCTTATTCATTCAACATAGTACTGGAAGTTCTAGTCTTAGTGATCAGGCAAGAAGAAGAAGTAAAAGTCATCAAAATCAGAAAGGAGGAAGTAAAACTGACATTATTTGCACATGACATGATATTGTATATAGAAAACTACTAGATCTAATAAATGAATTCCACAAAGATACAGGATACAAAATCAACATCCAAATATTGATGGCATTTTTATACACTGATAATGGATGATCAGAAAGATAAACTAAAAATCAACCTAATTTACTATTGCAATAAAAAATAGGGTACCTAGGAATAAATTTAACCAAGGAAGTAAAAGACCTATCCTGTGAAAATTATATGACATTGAAGAAATACATTTAGGAATATTATGCTGAGTGAAGTAAGCCAGTCAGAGAAAGACGAATATCACATGATCTCACTTAAAATGGAATCCAATAAACATAATAAACTAAGAAACAAAATAGGTCCAGAGGCATGGAAGTTTGGAAGAGATTGACATATCTCAGAGGGGAGGGAGGCGGATGGGAAGAGCTTAACCAAAGAACTTATATACAGATATGAATAACCAATGGACATAGACAATAGTGTCTTAAAGGCCTGGAGTAGGATGGGGGCTAGTGGGGGGGGTGATTAAAGTGGGCAAGGAAATTGGGGAATATCTATAATACTGTCAACAACAATCAATAATAATAATAAAATATATAGACATGCATTATTCACAATGAAAAAATTTAAGAAATATACAAATAAGTGGAAGGATATCCAAGTTCATGGAGTCGAAGAAATAACATCATTCCCAGAGTCATAAAAGCATGAACAGACTGTTGAACCTCAGAGGGAAGTCAGGGGAGAGTGGATGGGAAGAGATCAACCACTTAACCTGTATATATATATATATATATATATATATATATATATATATATGCATAATCCGACAGACAATAGGGTGGTAAGGGCCTGGGTTGAGGAGGCACAAGATGGAAGTGGGCTGGAAGAGGTTAATGGAAGGAAAAGGAAGACCCAAGTAATATTTTCAACAAAAAATATTTTATAAAAGGGAAAAATTGGATTAACCTCATTAAAATGTCCATACTACCCAAAGCAATCCATAGATCCAAAGCAATTCCTATTAAAATACCAAGGACATATTTCACAGATAAAGAAAAATATTCCAAAAATTTATATGGAACCAAAATAGACACAAATAGTCTGTGCATTCTTGAGAGAGAAGAACAAAGTTAGAGGTATTACAATGCCAAATATCAAACTCTACAAGGCCATTGTAATGAAAATAGCCTAGCTCTTACATAAGAACAAGCATATAAATAGTGAAACACAAGAGAGAGCCCAGAAATCAACCCATATCTTTACAGTCAATAAATTTTGACAAAGGAGGAAATAGCATACATTGGAGTAAAGGCAGTCTCTTCAATAAATGGTGCTGGGAAAATTGGACAGATATATGCAAAAAAAAATACACACAAAAAAACACACACACAAACTGACATCATACACAAGAATAAAATGAAAATGGATAAAATATTTAAATGTAAGTTGTGAAGCCACAAAAATTCTAAAAGAAAATATAACAGCAAAATCTCAGACATCTCTGGCAGCAATATTTTTGCTGAAATATCTCAAAGGGCAAGGGAAACTCAGGAAAAGATAAATGATTGGAAGTACATAAAGCTAAAAAGCTTCTGACCAGCAAAGGAAACCATTAACAAATGAAAAGAGAATGAACTATATGGGAGAACATATTCATCAATGATACATCTGGTAAGGGGTTAATTTCCAAAATATATAAAGAAGTTACACAACTCAATAGCAGGAAGACAAACAATCCAATTTAAAAATCAGCAAAGGACCTGAATAGACACTTCTCCAAAGAGGACATACATATTCCCAATAGACAAATGAAAAATTTATCAAGGTCACTGATCATCATAGAGATGCAAATAATTAAAAGAACAATGATGTATCACCTCACACCTGTCAGAATGGCTATCCAACAAATCAACAAATGATAAGTGCTGGCTGGCAAAGATGTGGAGAAAAAGGAACCCTCTTGCACTACTGGTAGGAATGCAGGCTGGTGCAGTCACTGTGAAATACAGTATGGAGTTTCCACACAAAAAAATTAAAAATGGAACTCCCATTAAACTGAATGATCCCACTTATAAAAATATATCATAAGAAACCTGAAACTGCAATTACAAAGCACATATGCAGCTCTGTGTTCATAGCAGCACAATTTATAATAGCTAATATTTGGAAACAGTGCAAATGCCTATGAGCAGATGAGGGGATAAGAAATATGTGGTGCACTTGTATAATGGAATATTACACGGCTGTAAAAAAGAAGGAACTCTTACCATTGGCAACAGCATGGATGGACCTGGAATGTATTATGCTAAGTGAAATAAGCCAGTCAGAGAAAGACAGGTATCACATGACCTCACTCATATGTAGAATCTAATGAACAAAATGAACTGATGAACAAAATAAACCCATAGACATAGAAGCATGGAATACATGGAGAATTTCAGAATGAAGGTGAAGGTGGGTGGGTGAAGAGAGATTAACCAGGGAACTTACATGCATATATGCATAGCCCATGGATACAGGTAATAGTGTGGTGAAGATGTGGAAGGGATAGTTGCTGAGTGGAACAGTTCAATGGGAAAAAAAATCAAAGGGGATATCTTTTCAATAATAAAGGTAAATTAAAAAATAAACAAAATGCCTGCATCTTCTGGAGGTGCTTGCTGCCTTGTAGGAGAGGAGACCTTCTTATATCAGTTAGTAAGCAGTAGAATCTTTTCATCTACTGAGATAATTAAGAGAAGGGAAGTTTTATATGTAGATGGAGAAATCCAAGGACTTCAGAGAAATTGCATTTTTTTAAAAATATATATTTTATTGATTTTTTTACAGAGAGGAAGAGAGAGAGATAGAGAGCTAAAAACATTGATGAGAGAAACATTGATCAGCTGCCTCCTGCACACCCCCCACTGGGGATGTGCCCGCAACCAACGTATGTGCCCTTGACCAGAATCGAACCCGGGAATCTTCCGTCCACAGGCCGACACTCTACCCACTGAGCCAAACTTGTTTCAGCAGAAGTTGCATTTTGAACAATGCTTTGAAGAATACTTTATCCCGGTCTGCGGTTGAGTGTCAACCTAATGAGCCAGTAGGTCATAGAACAATTTCTGGTCAGGGCACATACCCAGGTTGCGGGTGTGATCCCTGGTGTGGGGTGTGCAGGAGGCAGCCCATCAATGATTCTTTCTCATCATTGATGTTTCTCTCTCTGAAATCAATAAAAATATATTAAAAAATAATACTTTAGACTTAAAAAAATGGACTAGTTGTAAATTTAGAGTGAGGACAGTGAGGACATTACAGTAAGAGAAAGTGGCAGTCATGGTAATTAGTAATTGTGTTTTCACATTAATGAGGTTATGGTAATTAACATTTAATTTATTAATACATATCTAAGCAACATGGTATACTTGCCAAATTTAATATAAATTTTATTTTTCTCTTATCTCCTGGTACATGACATTTCAGAATAAAATTTTATGTTAAAAAATTAACTTAGTCTATTATTGATGGTCTACACATCCATTATGATTTTAATTATCTATGGCCATTCAGTATATTAATTTATGCCCTTTTATTCAGTTTGGTGTGTATGTTTCTGTATGCTGATTCAAAGTAGAAATGCCTAAAGAAACAAGAAGAAAAAATTCTTTTAAATGGTTTTTTGTTGTTCATTCACACAATTTTCATGGTATTAACACAAAGGATTAAAAGGATATTATTATTATTATTATTATTTATTATAATTAAATATAATTCTGATGTACTATGTCCTTAATGCATTAATATATGTACTATCTCATTAATACATTCATTTTCTACTCAATTATTGGAATATCAAAATTACTACCTTAGTATACAGTCACTACTATGATAATCAACTGTCACTATATCATAATAAAGTGTCATTTTTGTGAGCAATGCTTTTTACCAGTCATTCACAATAGCTCCTGATGTTTTTTTTAGTAAAAGTTGATGTACACAACAGGGAAGTTTTTGACTAAAAACCAAGATGCTAAATAAAATAATTATTATTTAGATATGTGGTGTACCTGTTATAAGACAGCTTATAACAGGCTTTGGAGATTTCATACCAGTTTTACAGAGTCAACCATAAAAATAAATACAAAAACAAACACATTCAGTTTTGTTCTTCTAATGAGAGATTTGTGGAGAAAATAAAATGAATTAGTTACACTGAAAATATAGTTAGCAAATGAAGGTAATAGTGTGGTGAAGACATGGAAGGGATAGTTGCTGAGTGGCCAGTTCAATGGGAAAATAAAATCACTGAAAAATAAAATCAGTGGCCAATTTTAAATCAACTAGAGGCCTAATGCATGAATT